AAAAAAGGCCAGACTTAAAGTGGACTGACAGAGACTAGAGGACCTTCTGAGGCTATTGCCCTAAAATATCCTTTGAATTTGGAACTGAACTCACTTCCGGTGGTCACCTTTCATCAAAATAAGAGATTGGCTTATAAATTAAACAATATCACCCGTGAATACTGTGCTCCCTTAACTTAATCAACCATATGAGACCAAATGGTCAACACTTACCCTAAAACAAAGGTGAGAAGCTAAGGAGAGGCAGGGAAGCTAGATTAATGGAAACAGAAAAGAGAAGGGAAATAATGTTGACACAGTGTGCAAAATGTCACCAATGTTATGGAACAAGTTGTATAAAAATTATTAAATGGGAACCTAACTTGTTATGTAAACTTTCACCTAAAACACAGTGAAAAAGAAAGAGAGATTTACACCCTAAAAAAAAAAAAAAAGAACAGGCCCCAAACAGAAGACAGCCAAAGGTAACAAATGCATAAAAAGCTAGAACAAGGAAGGAAGGTTCTTGCCGGATGTTGGCAAGGAAGCTGAAGTGCTCAGTTTAGGTCATCAGACTGGCTTGAGAGTAATGTCAAGGAAGACAACAAAAAGTAAAATAACACAGAGTACGGGTGGCACAGTGGTTAAGCACTCAGCTGCTAACTGAAAGGTTGGTGGTTCGAACCACCAGCTGCCCTGCATAAAAAAAGACCTGGCAATCTGCTCCTGTAAAGATTTCAGCCTTGGAAACCCTATGTGGCAGTTCTACTTTGTCCTATACGGTCACTAAGAGTCGGAATCTACTCGACGGCAATGAGTTTGGTTTTTTAATCTCATACAGTGCACGCAAACATTTTAAAGTTTCTTCTGTAAAATGGAGATAATAATAGTATCTACCTCAGTGGCACAATGGTTAAGTGCTCGGCTGCTAACCAAAAAGTTGACAGTTCAAATCCACCCAGTGGCTCTGTGGGAGAAAGACCTGGCGATCTTCTCATACAGATTACAGCCAAGAAAACTCTATAGGACAGTTCTACTCTGTCACATGGGGTCGCCCTGAGCTGAAAGTCAACTCGGGGCACCTAACAACAACAATAACCTCATAGGGTAATTGAGGATTACCTGAAATGTATGTAAAGAACTAAGCACAGGGCCTAACACATAGCACGTTATTAGCTCTCATTATTATTCTATCCTCCAAACTATGTAACATAGGTAAAGCTGAAACAAATATATTAAATCATTCTAATATCGAATCTGAGGAGGCCTGGTGGTGCAATGGTTAAGCGCTCGGCTGCTAACTGAAATGTCGGCAGTTTGAATGCACCAGCCTCTCCAAGGGAGAAGAACGTGGTGGTCTGTTTCCGTAAAGCTTACAGCCTTGGAAACCCTATGGGGCAGTTTTACTCTGTCCTATAGGGTCATTTTGACTCAATGGCAACAGGGAATATGGAATCTAATTTAATTCTTCCAACAATTTTACAAAACATACTCAAAGCTGCTTTGTATTAATTAAATAGGAGCTCTGGTGGCACAGCGGTTAAAGTGATCAATCGCTAACAGAAAGGTTGAGTGGCTCCAAGGAAGAAAAGATGTGGCAGTCTCCCTCCGTAGAGATTTACAGGCTTGGAACCCTATGGAGATGCCACGAGTCAGAATTGACTCGATGGCAGTGGGTTTTTGTATTAGTTAATACAAAACAAATACTGTAACAAACCTCCTTAAATAGGACGTTAAGTGTGGGTGTGTGCACTATTCAGAATAAGGGGATTTTTCTCCCTGCTCCTCTACTGAAACTGCCTTCACCTTGGTCACCAAAGGTCTATTTTCAGGACTTCATGATCTCTTTTTAACTACTTTTAAGGTAGTTTCTAACCTCTTTTGAACTACTTTCCAACCTCTGAGAACCTCCTCCACCTTTGGATTCCAAGACACTGCTTTGGTTTGGTTTTCCTTCTCCCTCTCCAACCATTTCTTCTTGGTCCCCTTGCCAAGCTCCCCTTCCTCTGGCTGCCTCTTCAATTTGCTCAGGTTCATACCAACTTTTTATCTCTTTCCCATATGCTTTCCCATTGCCATCTAGTCAATTCCGATTCATGGCAACCCCATGTGTTACAGAGTAGAACTACTCCATAGGATTTTCTTGGCTGTAATCTTCATAGAAGCAGATCACCATGCCTTTCTTCTGTGGCACTGCTGGGTAGATTCAAACCGCCAACCTTTAGGGTGGTAGCTGAGAGCAAACTGTTTTTGCCACCCAGGGACTCCAGTGTGCTACCCTACCTTATTTCACACCTTTATCATCTTTTGCCGGGACTATTGCAACAGTCTAACTGGTATCCTGGTTCCTAGTTTCTCCCAACCCTGGTCTATCCCGCACGCAGCCACCAGAATATTAAAAAGAAAATGTCAAGTGTTTGTGAAAAGACGTTCATTATCTTCTGTTGCCTACAAGGAAAAGTCCAAAACCTCAGCATACCCTATAAGGCCTTTCATTTTGGCCCCAACCAACCCCTCTAACCTCATCTCATCTTGCTCCACCTACTCGTCCAGAGCTCCAAGCACATGGAAATGTTCTTCAATGTTCAGATTACAGCACGTCCTTTCCAAAGCCCTTCATGTTTCCTCTTCCCTGAATGCTATTTTTCCCTGTTCCCAGCCATTTCCTGACCCAGCTCCCGTCTCTATTACCATGCTTCATTTTAAATATCTGTTTACATGACTATTCCCTCAGGACAATATAACCATCTCAAGCAAAGGGAAATGCCTTTTTCTTCTCTATGGCTCCAGATTCTAGTACCAAGCACGTGCTCAACAAGTATTTACTGACTGAATTAATAACAGCTATCAACAAACATTAAAATGATTAAAAAAAAAAAAAGTTGCAATTTTAAAATTCCTCCCTAGGTGGAATTGATTGAATGGGAAAAGATACAAATGAAACACCCAAGCTCCAATCTCAAGGTAAACATGGATTTTCTGAACGGCCTGAAAACACATTAAGGACAGCAAGCAGTTCAGAATATATAACATCTAGATTATCCCAGAACTTCAAGGTCGTATGACCGTGGCAGCTGATATAAACAAACATGACTTTATCACCTCCCTCAAGATCCTTCAATAGCTTTTTAAAAATTTCATTTTTTTACTGTAATACACATACAAAACCACATAAAACATCAATTTCTACATGTATACTTCAATGACATTGATCGTGCAACCATTCTCCATCTTTTCCCAAGCTATCCCACCTTTAACATACCTACAATGCACTCCAAGCAAAAATCCCCCCTCTCCCTCTCCCTCCTGCCCTGGTAACTACGAATTACTTTTGGTTTCTATGTATTTGCTTATTTCATATAAGTGGTATCATACAGTATTTGTCCTTTTGTGTCTTATTTCACTCAGCATGTTTTCAAGGTTCATCCATGTTGTGGTATGCATCTTGACTTCCTCTTTAGAGCTGAGTAGTGTTCCATTCTCTTTATGTACCACATTGTGTTCATCCACTCATCAGTAGATGGGCATTTAGGTTGTTTCCACCTTTTGGCTACTGTGAACAGTGCTGCAATGAACACTGGTATACACGTGCCTGTTCTTGTTGCTACTTCCAGGTCTTTTTGGGTGTATACCTAGAAGTGGGATCGTTGGGTTATAGAATTCTGTGTTCAATTTTTTGAGGAACTGTCAAACTGTTTTCCACACTTGCTGTACCATTTTACATTCCCACCAGCAATGGATGAGAGTTCCTCTTCAAGGGATTAAGATTCATCCTTAATCTGGCCTACAAGGGCCTGAGTAAATTTGTCTCCATCTATTTACAGTCTCATCTCACACTACTCTACCTTACTCTAGGAACTTTAACCACACAGGCCTTCTTTCCATTTCAGATAGGAGTAGATCTGCCAGTAATGTCCTTTTGTGTACCTTTCTAGCCTAAGCTAGTCCCCTTCTATCTTTCAGCCACCAGTTCAAGGATTCCTTAAATTGTCTACATTATATGCTGGAAGAATGTAAGATATCACATATTTAAGGGGCCCTGCAAGGAGCCCTGTTAGCACAGTGGTTAAGAGCTCGGCTGCTCACCAAAAGACCAGCAGTTCGAATCTACCAGCTGCTCCTTGGAAACCCCATGGGGCAGTTCTACTCTCTCCTATAGGGTTGCTGTGCGTCAGAATTGACTCAAGGCAACGGGTTTTGGAGGCGAAAGGTTAAGCACTCGGCTGCTAACCAAAAGGTTGGTGGTTGGAACTCACCCAACGACTCTGTGGAAGAAAGGCCTGGTGATCTGCTTCCATAGAGTACAGCCTAGAAAACTCTGTGGAGCTGTTCTCCTCTGCCACATGGGGTCACTGTGTCTATGGACACCTACCAACATCACATATTTTGGAAGCAATATAGCGTTGTTGTAACGACCACGGATTAAAGACGCAGTATATTTAACCTCTTTATGTCTTGGTTTCCCATCTGTAAAATTGGGTAATACCTGAGCAATACTGAAAAAATTAAAGCACGTAAGCAACAGCTTAATAAATGTCAAAAGTAACACATTTAAATACTTGCTTAATTAGTTATTTGTCCCCCTAAGTTCCCCGCTCGTCTAGCCCAGGGACCATCATCCTGGTTTATCTCTGTACTCTCACCCTCAGTACAGAGTCCTGAACATAGTAGGCCTTCGGTATATGATTAAAAATAATAAAAACAAACCTTCAAAATCTTGGGTCCCACTTTTGCCTTAAGAGCTGAACGATCTCAGGCAAATCACTCAACCTACCTAGGCCTCGTTTACCCTTACGCAAATCGGGAATAGCAATATCTACCTCAGCGGAGCTGCATACTAAATAAGGCGATGCAGCCACAAAAGCACATGGCACATCTTAAAATGCCGTACAAACGGTGGATGTTTATTACCGATAAAACTGAGGCCCACGTCTTCCCTCCCCTTCGGCACGCCTCACCCTGACCCTGTCCTCTGCCCAGCCTACACCCTCATTGCGCCCTTGGCCCCCAGGTCCCTTGGGATTCCAAGCGTGGGAGCCCCGGCCACGCGCGTCTCCCTCCAGGTGCCCCTCGCCCTACTTCCTTCCTCGCCCGGACGGACGCACTTCCGGCGGATGTGGGGGGGCATCCCCCGGAAACGGAAGTGAGCGGCGGGGCTGACTGAGGGTAACGTTGCTGAGAGGCGGTGCGGAGATCGGGCTCAAGATGGTGAGTTAGTTCCTGCGCGGCCCAGGCTCCCGGAGGTTCGGACTGTGGCCCGGGCAGGCCCCGGCGGCTGCCTCCCGGCCCGACCCTGGCGGCGGCAGGAGGACGAGGCCGGCCTCGGGCGCCATGATGTGTCGAGTCACGGGGTCGGGGGATGGTCGCAGCTGTAGTCTGTGCCCGGCTCCGGCGCTGCTCCCGCCAACGGCGGTTCGGCTTCTTCCTTTTCTCTCCATTCGCGCGCCCCCATCTCTGATTCCTTCAGCAGGCCCCGGCCCCTTCCCCGTGGGCGGCGCGGAGCAGGAAAGGACAAACTCTAAAGTGTACTGTTTTGTAGAGTGGCGCCGCCGACTACCCTTTCCCCGAGGGGAGAACCTCTGAGAGCCCAGAGTCCGCAAAATCCTCACCCTACCTGGCCCCCGGCCACGCTGAGCGGCGGGAATGGGAGGCAAGGGTCTTCGGTGTGAGTGAGCGTTTGGGGACTATCTTGATAACCAACCCACAACTACAGGCCGCATTTGTATGAGTTAGTTTGACTCTTATTTTTAGGGTTTGTAGTATGCCGGGCATGGTTCCTAGTGTTTGAAGGAAAAGAATTCACAGTTGCTCCCCTCCGTTTGTCAGTATTGTTAGTGCATCTCTGCCTTTTTTTTTTTTTTTTTTTTAAACTTTAAACAAAAAGGAGAAACTAAGAGACTTAAAAGTTGTGACGTTTGGGAAAGACTACTGGATCATCATTGCCACTGACTGATACCGACACTGGTAGTCCATCCAAATCTAGGAGGCTTTGGTCGGTAAATATCGCCAATCATTGTAAAGAAGTGTTACAGACACTCTCAAATGTGACTAATGCTGCTTAGGTTTCATAGATGGGTTTTTCTCTGCAACTTTATTAGAAACATCAAGTGCTGATCCTGATATTTTACAGAAGGACATTGGAAGAATGATGATAACGTTAGAACCCAGAGATCAGAATTATTTTCTTTGTGCAGAGAGGAACTGTTTTTCTGTCACTTTACAGTGAAGCAGTGTGTCAGGAGAAGGATGTTCGCAGAGGAAAGTAACAGGAGTTACATTTCTAAAGGTACAGTCATAGAACTGTCATCCTGGAAGGAGTTCAGCTGCCTGGTACAAATGAGTAAACAGGCCCAGAGAGGTTGCATGACTGGCTCGGAGTCACATAGTACGTTAATGACAGTTCACACTAGATTCCAGATTCTTTTCCCAGTCCGCCATGAGTTCTGTGCAGGCAAGTCGAACCTGTTGTGAAGCTTCTTGAGTTCCAGGCTAAGAACTGGAACCAGCCATTGATGAACCAGTGAAAAGTTATTTACCAGCTTTGGTTGCGGGAGGTTGTATGCTTTAGAGAAACCTTGGTATGCAAGATTGGAAAATGGAAGAGTATAAGAGGTAGCAAGACCCAGGAAAGTGCTGCCTAGAGTCTGGACTAGGGTGGTAGACTGAAGAAGCACTGGACAGGATAAAGTACGTGACCAAATAAAATACACAAACGCATTAAGAGATCAATTTTAAAAAAAAGCTGGTTTCTCAGGATAGAAAATATCTTCAAGGATAGTACAGTAAAATCTGTGAAAGCCAGGACCTGTGTAAGGTGGAAACCTGTCAGAGAAGGAAAATGCAAGTATTTTGCACTGAAACGAGTGATAGAAAAGCTGTAACACTGCACCCTGTCAAAGTCAGAAAACTTGTGAGATCCAGAAAAACAAGGCAGGCAGGCCGGCCGGGCTTTCACAGGTTTCACTGTAGAAGACTTGATACTAAATTCCCTGCAGCTGTTTTGCATGTTTCTGCAGCATTGCAGGTACGTTGTATTTGAAAGAGGAGCCCTGTGGCACAGCGGATAAAATCCGTGGCTGCTAACCTAGAGGTCTGTGGTTCAAACCCACCAGCCCAGTCCATGGGAGAAAGATGTGGCAGTCTGATTCCATAAAGGTTTACAGCCTTGGAAGCCCTATGGGGCAGTTCTACTCTGTTCTTTAGGGTTGCTAAGTTGGAATTGGCCTGATGGCAGTGGGTTTGGTTTTTTGGTTTGTATTTGAACAAGTAATTTAAGGTCAGTGTCTTATAGCAGTTACCATATTTTATTTGCTTGTTTAACATATCTTCATTAGACTAAGCCCTGTGAGGTAGACCTGTATCTTCAGCACCTAGCAGAGTAACTGATACATAAGTGCATAATATTTGTTGATTGAAAATTTCATACTATAAATGTGTAGGGTTTACATCAGTACCAAATGCAGCGTCTTGTGTTTTATACTATCTTGATTAAATATATATATATTTTTTTAATAGCTGGTGCTTTTCTCTGAACGTCTTTTTTTCCTTAGCTTTTGTAACCACTGTCTTCTAGCTATCCCCTCACTTCTCAGTCCTATTTCCGTGTTCTTCCTCATCCCAAAGGAGTGATATTCCCTAGGATTCTTCCTTGGCTTTACCATTCTATGCTAATCACTCTCCATGGACTACCTAATGGAGGGGCTTTCTAATGAAAGCAAATCTGATCATGCTGTAACCCTTCAGAGGCTCGCTGTAAGTTTAGAATAAAACCGAAGTGTCTTTATGTGTAAGGCTTTTCATTTTTTCATTTTGCCGACCTTTACTTCTTCGTCTCTTATGCTGTATTTAGCCAGTCATCTCAAACTACTTATAGTTTGTTCACTTATCCTTTTATACTTCTACACGTGTTCTTTCTGTTTTCCTGGAACGTCTTTTGACCTGACAGCATTCTGCGATCAGCTCGGGAGTCCTTCTTACCCCCACCCCTAAACTTGGTATTACCCACTGTCCCCTGTATGTCCCTCTGCCATAATGCTTAAGGCTCATAATTGTCTAGACTGTGGGCTCTTGGATGGCAGAAGCCATATCTTCTCTCTCTCTCTCTCCAGTGTTTAAACTGTTTTTTTTCCATAGGTGTTCCATATGTGTTTTTTGTTCTTTTGAATGAGTGAATGATTTAATAGTGTTTTTTGTGTTGTAGAATTCCAGAGGACTCGGATCTCAGCTAAAAGACAGTATTCCAGTTACTGAACTTTCAGCGAGCGGACCTTTTGAAAGTCACGATCTTCTTCGGAAAGGGTATATGGGGGAGTTGTGGCGTTGACATTGTTACAGTAAAATGGTTTTGTATTTTTTCCCCCTGATATTCTTTAAATATTTTGATGTACTATAAACGTATATTTAATTTGGGAGCTATTAAGTAATATATCTTAGACCTGGGGGAGGGGCAGGGAGGATGCTTAGGTGTTTTCTGTAGTGGAAGAGGCATCTTACAGGAGTAATGAGCTCCCGGAATAGGACATCCAAGGAGATGGTACCTAGTAGTGTGATTGGATAGGAGTCTTCTTTTTTGCTACTGATAACTTGGAAAGCGATTTGCCTCCTTACCTGATTAACTGTCAGAGTAATCACCTTTCTTTGAGAGACACTAGAGCCTAGCAGTCGAGAGCATGGACTCAGGCTGCCTAGGTTTGAATCCTGGCTCTGCTGTTTACTGTGCCTTTGGGGAAGTCACTTAATTGCTCTTTATCTCAGTGTCTTCATGCTAATAATAGTATGTATGTCATTTTGAGGAGTAAACAAGTCAGTATGTGAAAAATACTAAAGAGCAGTACCTCAGTGTTAGCTGTTATTACTGTTTTTCTTTTCTGGCTTCACATACAGTTATGCCCTGTCTCTCGCTTTCCTTTATGTTCCTATATGTTTAGGTCTCAGTTTATGATACTAGTCCTTTTTCTGGGCAGGTCACTTTTCTGCTTAGATAAGGATGATACTTTTCTCTCTATAAACATTTTATGCTTTGAATTTTTAATCTAATTTTAGGGTGCTTACTCTTATTATGATGGTATTCTTACTATAATAGCATTCTAATGTGCTGTCTGGGGACAGACATGACACCTCATTACAGACTTTCTATTTTGTATTGGAAAAGGTACAGTGTATAGCCTTTGGAATTAGAGATATGATTTGATTTATAGTATTATCAAATCATAGCCTAGCTAGTAACTGAGTCCTGATGATGTTTTCCCCCTTGAAATGCTCCTTTCTGTACCTGGTTAGACTGTAAGATTGCCAAGAGCAAGACCATTTTCAAATTCCGTGTCTAGAGTAGTGCTCTATACAGCGACAGTATTCAGTAAATATTTGTTGCAGGATTTCTGCAGTTTCAGCTCTGAGCTCCTGGTCTGGAGAAGATAGTCACCTTTATGTACCTAGAATGATAAAAACCGGTGACATGGTTCCAACTGTGCGTCACCTAACAGTACTTTGCACATAAGTCGTTGTTTAGTAAATGCTGAACATACTTGTTCAACATGTGTTTAATGTGAAGGATACATTAAATACGCATTAGACCAGGAGGGAAGAGACTTCGATGGTTTTATATAGTGCAAGAAGCATCTCATCAGAGTATAATAATAAACGTGCATTTATTAATTTTTTCCTAGATATGGAGCATCACTTAGAATCGCTTTTTGGAGGGCTCTCCCTAGTGAATGGAGGTCTTTGACTACCAGTAGTAGATACATTTTTAAAAAATTATCATACAGTGAATTTGCCCCTTTTTAGGAGGATGTATACTTCCATGTCCTATAACTTCCACCATAGTCAGGATACAGAACAATTTCATCACCCCCCAAAAAAAAACCCTTGTGCTCTCTATTATACTCACGCCCTTGATAGATGCAGTTTTTAGCTTTGGGTATTGAGTGATATTTAACCTCCTTTTTAAATGTTTATTTTCAGTTTTTCTTGTGTGAAAAATGAACTTTTGCCCAGTCATCCTCTTGAATTGTCAGAAAAAAATGTAAGTATGTTGTTAAGTTCCTGTGTCTTTATTTTTATCCTCTAGTAGAAAAATACTTTTAGTAATACTTAATTTGTGGTTTCATTTTTATTAAAACAATTCTAGTACTAAGGATTACTCTGTCCTGTAGGGTGACCGAGTTGGAATCGACTCGACAGCAATGGGTAGTATAAGGATGATGACCGTGAAGAATATGAGGCCTTGTTTCCAATATCTTTGCAACGGTAGACTTTTAAATTGTCATGACTGCTTCACCAAAGCTCCCTTTCCACACATTTCTCCTCCTTTTGTATGGTCGTCTCTAAAGATCAGTCCACCTCTCTCTGTTTCTCTCATAATGTTTTCTCATTTGATGATCTCATTTTCTTTTACCATATTCTCACCCTGTCATTTTGCTGTGGGCCTCTAAGTCCACACCTTTAGCCATCACCTCTTTCTCAAGCCTCCCATCTTTGAGTTACTGAGGGGCACACCCACTTGCTAGGCACACTGGGTACGCAGATGATGACGACACAATCCTCGTCCTTAAGGGGCTTAATATTTAGTGGGGAAGACATTCAGTGAATAGGTACTTCATAAAGTGCTGTTTGATTGGGAAGTTGATGTCCTGGAGTATAGAGTTAAAGGCATATGAGTATCATTATAAAACCATAGTTGATCGTATTTGAGAAATAATAGGGGAAGTGAAAATTACCTGTAGACTGAAGATGAATAAACATCCATCTTCTCTAAACAGGATCTAACTAAAAAACAGACTGGCCATGGAAACAGAATCTTGGCACTGTTCTTAAGTGGACTGTTAAGTCCACTGTGGGTTTTTAGTAAAGTAAGCTGTGAACAGCAGCAATTAAATGAGCCCGTGAGAAATTAATCTTAATTCACTTTTATGAAATTACTAGATAGGTAACTCAAGAGATACTATTTGACGGAAGATAATCTTGAAGATAAGACGGTGGACTGTGGGCTGAGTGGGAGTTGGGTAGATTGTTTGTGGTTAATAACTGTTCCCAGTGGCTACTAACAAGAAGAGTTAATGTAACCTCGGGCTTTAGTAATGAGAACGTGCAGCCTAGTCAAGGGAGATTAGAGTGTCACTTTTCTGTGTATTAGTCTGGCCATTATATTTGGAATATTGGTTCGGTTCAGAGCGATGTAGGTGAAGAGAAACTTTGCCAAATCTGAGTTGAGAGTGGCTAAGATGGTGAGCGGTAAAAATTTCATACATCTTTTGAGGTAATTTCTGCTTTTTTTTTTTGTAAATTCTGTAGCACCTATTATGTATTATTGATTTTTTAGCATGGGTTTTCTAGTTGAATTACACAGGCTTAAATTCTTGATGCTATACTTACTAGCTAAGTAAACTTTGGCAAGTTGCTTTCATCTCGTGAAGTCTTCGTTGCCTCATCTGTAAAACAGAGTTGGTAATAATAAGCCATCCTCATAGAGCTGTTGAGAAGTTTGGGTGAGGTAAAGCATCTGAAGCCCTTGGCCTGTTGCTGGCTATAGTTTAGCTCTCCATGATTGGACGCTGCAGGAGTAATTGTGATGGACGGTGGCCATCACCATCTGCACTAGGGGCTCCCAACTAGGTGATTTTTGTCCCACCGAAGGGGGCATTTGGCAATGTCTGACGACATTTTTGTTTGTCCCAACTAGGGGAAGGGGGCTGTCTGCTGGCATTTATTGGGTAGAGGCCAGGGAAGCTGCTAAAACATTGTACAATGCACAGAACAGCCCCCTACCCCAAACAGAATTATCTGGCCCAAGATGTCAGTAATGCTAAAGGTTGAGAAACCTGATCTGTGCATAATGTCTTCCTAACTAGATTATAATCTCCAGAGTAGACTATTTCTTCTATTTTGTTGTGTAGTGCCCACGTAGAGCCTAATTTTGTGTATGGTTGCTGATCATTAAATATATGTTGATTGGTAATTGCAGTTTAATGTCATGTGACAAGGTGGGTATATTCATCGAAAGTTTATTTAAGTTGAATTTTTCTGTATAAAATAATGTGTACTTATCATTAGGATAACTTAATATTTAAGGGAAACTCCTCAATTAAGACTTCAGCTCATATATACGTAACAAAACGTTGCAGATTTTCCCTAAGGGCATCTGTCAAATTTTTTCTCATTTAAGCTGAAGTAACTAATTGTTTTAAATTAAATATTGACAGATGCTGTACTTTCAAACTTCATATATATAGCCTCCAGGTCATGTCCCTCAGAAGGCACTAATCTCTCAGATTTTTTATCAAAATAATCTCCTTGATGGCTGTTAGAGAAAATCTTATCAAGAGAGTATAGCCTGCTGCCACTGCCATCAAGGTGACTCCAGATTAGAACAGATTAGAACTGCCCCATAGGGTTTCCAAGGCTGTAATCTTTACAGAAGCCGACTGCCACATCTTTCTCCCAAGGAGCGGCTGGTGGGTTCGAACTGCCAACTTTGGGGTTAGCAGCCGAGTACTTAACCACTGTGCCACCAGGGCTCCTCCAAAAGAGAACAGTGTAATAAAAAGTGATGCCAAGAGATTGCTTATCTCATTACAGTTACCTTAGCTTAAACAGATCTTGTGGCAGTCTGTTTGCATATTAAATTCCCTACGCTATAAAGGCATTTTGGGAAGCTGTTTTAGAATCATGAGTCACTAACCTTTCATTTTGCCTGAAGTGTATTGTGATCAAAGTTTCTTAATCATCAGTGCTTAGTAGAAGTGTGACTCCAGACCAAAAATGCTGATTAGTACCTCCCACAAATCGGATAGACTTCAGAGCTTCGGGTTTTTTTTTCCCTCCTGAATCAATGACCAGATAACACTGGAGTTTAATTAACAGGATGGTGTAATGATCTGATTATTTCTTTTACAAAATCCTTTGAAAGAATATACTTTCATACTTAGAAACTCACTGTTAATTTTTTGTCACTGTAGATAGTTTTTTCTGAATGTCAAATTCCACCTGTTCTTTGCTCTGTCAACTTCAAAAGCAGTGAAATTAGGATTCCGAAATACCAAACCGTCACAGTCGAGCTGTTTCTGACTCATAGCGGCCCTGAAGAACTGAGTAGAACTGCCCCATAGAGTTTCCAAAGAGTGGCTGATGGCTTTTTAGTTAGCCACCGGGCTCTTAACCACTTCACCACAAGGGCTCCATGAAATTAGGATTATGCCTGATAAATATACCTTTGTAATATGAAAAAAACAAGGAGCCCTGGTGGCACAACACTTAAGTGCTCAACTGCTGACTGAAAGGTTGGCTGTTCAAACCACCCAGCAGCTCTTCAGGAGAAAGACCTCAGGAGAAATCTGCTTCTGTAAAGATTACAGCCAAGGAAACCCTATAGGGCAGTTCTACTCTGTCCTGTAAGGTTGCTATGAGTCGAAATCAACTTGTTGGCACACAGCATTACAACAATGTGAAAAATATTCCTTAGTTTTTAATTTTGTGCATCCAGATTTTAAGTGGTAGTTTTATCCTAGTGAAGTACACTTGCATACTAGAAAAAACAGATGTGTATATGTTTTAAAATTTATTAGGAGAAATTAGTAAGAGTACTTCATTTTATTATGACGTTAAAGTCCATCTTAAGTGTATGTTACGTATGTATTAGTGCCAACTCTTTAGAAAGAGGAATGTGGACTGTAACATTTTTCCATTGTTCGCTTTTGTAGTTCCAGCTCAACCAAGATAAAATGAATTTTTCCACCCTGAGAAACATCCAGGGTCTGTTTGCTCCACTAAAACTGCAGATGGAATTCAAGGCGGTGCAGCAGGTGAGTCTGGATCGCAGTTATGACTGCGTCCGTGTGCGTGCTGACGGAGGTTGGAAGACTTGTCTGTTTTCATAATGGCTGCTTCAAACTTTACCTTTCCTGCTCTTCCATGACCTAGTCTACCTTCCCCCCTTTTTAGCATGTGACCTTGATTCCTACCTCATACAGAAAAAAGCCATTGGATGGAAAAACTCCTTACAGTTCTAGGCTCAGTGTCTGAAAACTAACCTGCATCTTCATTCATGTCTTTCCTCTTGTGAGGGATTACATTAAATTTGAGATGTCCCTAGGAGTATCCAAGTGGAATATCTAGTAGGCACTTTCGAAGGTAGGCCGCGTATACCTGTTAAAAATAAGATCTTGGACAGTGTCCTTCCAAGGGTGTAAGTGCTGTCTCCCCACCTGTGTGTGGGATCTTAGCACATCACACCAAGTCAGGGTTCCTTCATCAGGGATCCATTCCACAGCTGGCATCTTCAACTCTTTTTGCTCTGTCTTGTCAGTAGCATTTACACGTTTGAACCTCTTTTGTCTTTTAAAACAAAAACTATCAGTCCTAAATCCCTTTATAGCAGCTTCTCTGTCACTGAGTGTGCTTTTGCAAGGTAAGCTTCTGGAAAAAGTTGCCTGCATTTTGTGGTGTATACTCCTTTGCCTCCTGTTCACTTGATCCACTGTTGTCTGTGGTATTGGACACAGATTGACACCTTCCTCCCTTGTCCCTTAGAATGCCACACTTGCCTGCTGTCCACCTGCCTCTATGAACCCTCATTCTCAGAGTGGCTCTGTTGATTCCTTTCCTTTTATCTGTTTCTTTAAACGCCGGTTTTGTTAGTATACCACACCCAGTTCACTCCTCGACCTATTGTTTCCTATCTATTCCTGTGGATTTAGTTACCATTTATATGCTGATGACTCCCAGGTTATAGCTCTCATGAACTGTAGACCTTTAGGCTTCTCCAGTTGTGTAAAAATGGCACAGCGGAGGCATCTGACCTCTTCTAACTTCACAAGGGGGAAGGAGTAGCAAGATCAACAGCCCAAGGCTGATTCCTATGAGGCAGAGGTCAGACATGCCTCTCCTCTCTACCATCTTTACCATTTCTGACACCGGCAGTCTCTCCCACAGTACTGTCTGCTTCTCTGCTGGGTTTGATAATTCATTGCAGTGGCCACACAACTCACAGACAATGCTCAAAATTATGAGGTTTATTAGGGAAGTGATAGGTTATATAGTTCAGGCTCAGGAACACTGGGGATACAGTTCTTCCATCAGGACAACCTCTTCTCAGATGTGCCTGCAGGCAGGTCTCTGACCCTTTGCCCCTTGGGCAAGCTCTTTTAGCTCTGCCAGTAGGTGCCCAGAGGCACCACACTCCACCGGTAAGCCTCAGACTGAAGGTGTTCAGCTCTAGCTCTGTGGGTCAGCAAACTTACCTCCATCAAGTGCCCGGAGGCACCCTATTCCACCAGCAAGCCTCCTGCCCGAAGGCTCTTAGCTTCCTCACTCTGTGGGCCAGGCCATCTGCCAGTCTCCTGGTTCTGCTGCCATCATTTCTGTGTTGCTGCTTCTGGCCATTTCTGTTGTTACAGCTCTCTCTCTCTTTCTCTGCCTCTGCCTGTCTCTGTCTCTCAGTCTCCTGGTTCCAGGAGCTTCTCGGTGCAGGGATCCCGGGTCCAAAAGACGCATGCCACTCCTGGCTTTTCTTTCTTGGTGGTGGTGAAATCCTCTCCTCCCACCCCTGGGATGGCTCATTTTAAGCCTAGCGGGATGGCAAAACTGACCAATCCCGTTGTTAAGGTTCCATAGACTTTACTTGCATGGTGCCACCCCCACACGAATAGCTTGACCTTTATTTCCATTATTAGCAACTGTCCAATCCACTTGGTGGGCCAGAATTACTTGACTTGTATAGTCGCACCCAAGTGGGTGTTAGAAGACCATGGCGAGATAGGTCCTATAAAAGCAGCACATCGTACCGCAAGTTGGATGCCCCATAGGCAATTTCACATCTACAGGTACAGAGTAACTTCTGCATCCTCACATGCATATCATCTGAGCTGTTTTTGCCTAAGATAGAAATTGTAGCTTTAGCCTTGGTTATTCCCTTTTACCCAGTACCTCGTCCCCAACCTCAATCCCCCACCCTCAGCATCCACTCAGTTACTTAATCTTCTCGCTTGACTGCATTGTCATATTTTCATCACCATTGCCGTTACATTGGTTTTGACCACTGTCAGGCTTCATCTGGATTACCACAATAACCTTGCTGCCCCTCTAATTCACTGTACACATTCCAGCCAGAACAGTCTTTGTAAAACACAAGTATGAGCACACCACTCCCTTCTTTAAAGTCCTTCATTGCCTCGCCTTCCCATCAAAATAAAATCCACCTCCTTAGCGTGGCTCCGTGCCTCAAGTGGCTTCTCTTTGCTCTCCACTGTGCTCCTGCTCTCCTCAGTTAGTCGCGGTTTCTTGACTGACTGTGTTCTTGCATCTTTTGGCTTTTGCACTTATTCTTCCTGCTAGTGTGGATTCCTTAGTCTCACCTGGCCAAAATTATACCTATTTCAATAAATTTTATTAATGCCATCAATTGAGTGGGCTAAGTCACTCTGGAAGCTGCTTTGGTACCCTTTCCCAAGGATAAAGCTCTAAAAAGAGCATGGCTTTAAGTCAGAATAACCTGGATTGAATCTTGGCTCCACTCTCTACTAGACTTAAGAACTCAAGTAAGTTAGAGAACCTCTGAGCCTATGATTTTTTGTGTGTTTGTTTTTAATGTGAAATGGAGATTGCAGTAAGAACAGTGTAGGGTTATTGGGATTACTGTGAAGATTAAATGAAATAACACGTGTTTAGTGCAGAATTATTAGCTTCTCTTTTTATTCTTCTGTTGTTACTCGGATTCGTACTACATATTGTTTGAAATTTGAGCCTAAACTTTTAATCCCATTTACTCCAAAAGTCTTTGCCCAGAATGCTGACCCTTTTTGCCTGTTGCCTAACCTACCTATATTTTTTTAATTCTTACTTGTCAAGATGTATAACAACGGCCTGTTCTTCCCTGCTTTTGATACTGTCTCTGGACTATTCTCTGATTTCATTGTACCTACCAGCCCCGTTGCTATTTCTGGTTTCATTTACAGGCTCCTATTTCTGTTTCTTCCTCTTCCTCTAGCCTCCCCACCCCATCCTTTTTTTTAGCCTTAACAATCTAGAGAAATTTTTCCACAGTAAAGATTTTAAATAACCCTGCAGGCCATTTGTAATTGAAAGTAGTATCTTTAGTCTGGATATATTTTTGGGAGAAAAATATTAATATAACTGCACCCTTAGATTCTAAAGATAGGATTATTTTAAAATACTGGTGTCATTAAGTTGTTACTCTTTTGGTATTCTTTTGTCAGTATCCATAATTACCTGCATTGATTCTAATTACGATTGCTGGATTGCTAACAAAGAACAGAACAATTGAAAATTCGGCTTGGCTGCTTTGCAGTTCGCTGAGTGCCAGCTATGTGCCAGTTTCTGTGTTGTGTACATGCTTTCATTACACTGTGCTACAGTTCTCAGAGGATGGTAGTATTCATTCCTCTTTTGCAGATGAGGGAGGGAATTGACGGGGAGAAGGGTCAGGTAACTTGCCTAGAGCCATGTGATTGGTAAATGGTGAAGTCAGAATTTGAATCCAGGTCTGTCTTTCTCCACAGCCTGTGCTTTCTCCACTATATTTAGGTGCCATTCTATAGGTTTGCATATAAGGATGTGTTTCCAACACCCCCCAACCTCCCCCACCCCAGAAGATTTACATTAATAGGTATGTATTACTTGGAAAAAAGAAGTAGCATTAGTTACATTCAGAATGGCATTGTGTTTTTAAGTCTCCACAAGTGACTCTGATCTGCATTTCTGGTTACCACTCCTGTCTTAAAGGGTCATACCTCACATTTGTACTATTTGTACATAGTACAAAATAACATACAAAATGAAGTGCCGTATTTTTCGCAAATAATGCATGAGTTATACATGCGCAGATCCCTCCCCTACGTTTTCGTCTGCATGCTGTGCCAATTTTTTTTTTACATATTGCTGACTTCAGTTGACACTAAAAAGACATAATTAAACTATAAAATAAGCAGACCTAGCATACACCTAACAGTTTCGCTTAAGATGATCTGATAAGCTCTTCGCATTCAACTGGTGAGCTAATGCGCTGTAATTATCAACTTAGTAGAAAAAAATACACAGTTTCAATTGTTTATTTTCTGATTATGAGGGACTACCAAACTTAATCCATGACTTCTTGATCATGGCTTATACGTTTAGTATACAGTTATGATCAAAAATAACATTTTCTGACTGTACACATAAGCAAAAGATTGAAGAGAATGAACAGAGTGATCTCATTTATGTGTGATATGGAAGGGCTGGTGAGTGAGGCTGAAATTCCCTTTTGGAAATGTCACAGGACGTGTGCAGTATACGCACAGGCAGTCTACGCCAGAACTGTTAAACTTAAGTTCACCATTTCCATGCGTTTTATGTATGGGCATGTTATTTACAAAAAATACAGTCGTCAGTTGACTAAGTAGAATAATACCCTCATTGAGTTGGGATCTCTTCAGGACTTTGATCATCTCGCATTTATTAGGAGGAAGACATGGTGTCAGGCCCTGGGAGATTGCATTTCGTCCATGGTATGTGCTGTGGCAAATCCCCAAATATACGTGCAAACTGGATGGGGATTATTAAGTGTTAGTCAAAGCTACAGTGTTAGTGTCTTTACATATCTTGAAGAAAGTTTGAGTTTTTTAAAACTTGGCTTGAGTCTAAAATACTAACTGGCATTTTTGTTAATTTAACTGGTTAAATTAATATTTTACTTGGCTTTGTAAATTTTACAAGTAAAGAATGAAGAACACAAAATTAAGATTATATATTCTCTGTATTTTTTTCCTAATCTTACCCTTTCATCCTTTTCCCAAAGGTTCAGCGTCTTCCGTTTCTTCCGAGCTCAAACCTTTCACTGGATATTTTGAGGGGTACTGATGAGACTATTGGATTCGAAGATATTCTTAATGGTAAGTATCCTTCAGCACCTTTTTATGGAGACCCTGCTATGTACAGGGCTACAAGAGAAAGCAAAACAGACAAAATCCTTGTCCTCGTGGAGCTTGCAGCCTGTTGGATCCAATTGTGTTTGTTCACTGCGATAGGATAAAATTTAATAGTAATAACTGTCCTTTAATTGTTTTTAAAAGTGAAGATTGCTTGTGAAATTCTGAGATTATATGCCTTTTAGTCACTAATGGTCATCATTAATTTTATGTTCATTTAAAGTTTGATGTGGGTCTAATACAATATCGTGTGTTAGCTGACTCTTAAACAATGATAGTTGCTTCAGTATCCAAGACATTTGTCAGATGTGACTAGTTTTTAAAACTACTAGAACAAATAAAAGTTTTCTTTAAAAATACCCTCCCCCGTACCCCCAATTTTTTAATGTGTGGTGAGTAGGAAAGAAGAACCTGTCATTTTGAACAAAATTCCTTGAGTAATTATATTGTCTGTGAGATAAATGACTTTTAAGTAAGAACAATACCCGTGTCCTCTATTTTTTCTGGCCCTGAGGAAGATAAACAAATAAAATTCTGACCAGCACTGCCTCTGCTCATTATGGCCCAGCAGTTCAGAAGACACAGAAAAACCCAACAGGATTAAATTAGCTTCGTTTTGCTTGTCCGCTGACGCCTGGTGAGGAAATGCTGTGGACATAACAGAAGTCTAGCGAGCCTTCTCTTTGAGAATCTTCCCTGACACAAGTTGTTGAATGCAGGAAAACCTAGGATTCCTAAGCTTTTACACTGAACTTAGACCTCATTTAAAATTAGTAAGGTGGTGTGTATATATATATATATATGTGTATATATATATATGTATATGTATATATATAGTCTCACCTTCTAATTATTTACAAATGCATTCATTTAAAAATCTGCTTCTGTAATTCTGTGTAAAGAAAGAGATTTATGGAGCATTTATTATGTGTCAGACACAGGGCCAAGCTCTATATACAGGGATGAACAAAACAAACATGAATTAATTGAGCTAAAGCGGAGAGAAGACTTTCAGGCAGAAGAAACAGTATGTTTGAGGGATCTGAGCTAAGAATCACTTGATGGACTGTCCAGAACTCTGAAGGGGTTGAGATTTCACTCTGCTTGCAAGCTAACCAGTCAGTCTGCCGTAGTTTCCTGGGGGCTGGCAGGAGACAGACTCCTAGAGACAAGGAACAGTTCATTCCCCGCAGCAGTAGCTGTCGTCACAGTGTCAGCATTTTCGCTGGTTCCCTGTGCCCCAGTTCCCACAGGGCAGCAAGAAGAGGGTCAGGTCTTCGTTTCTTAGTGCCGCTTTAACAAAAGTGCGACAAGTGGGTGACTTAACAAATTTATTTTCTTGTAGGAAAAAAAAAAACCAAAAACCTGTTGCCATCAAGTCGATTCCGACTCACAGCAACTCTGTAGGACAGAGTAGAACTGCCCCCATATGGTTTCCAAGGAGTGGCTGGTGGATTCAAACTGCTGACCTTTTGGTTAGCAGCTGTAGCTCTTAACCACTATTCAGGACACCAGCTCTAGGGGAAGGCTTTCTCTCTCTGTTGGCTCTTGGGGAAGGTCCTTGTCTCTTTATAGCTTCTGTTCCTCAGTCCCGTGGCAGTCTTGTGATGCGTATCTTCCCCATCTTTTGTGCTCCCTTCTCTGTGTTCAGTCTGTTCTTTTTATGTCTCATAGGTGATTGGTTTAAGATACACCCTACACTGATAAAAATCCTCATTAACATAACGAAGATCATAGTCCCAAATGAGATTGCATCCACGGGTTATAGGGGTTTAGGATTTACAGTACATGTATTTGGAGAACACAGTTCAATCCACAACAGGTGGCATCTGCATATACAATGTATTTGGTTGCAGGAGAGAAACCCCAAGTTTAGGGCACCTGAATCTTTTATAATAGGCCACAGCCTGCCTATGCTGTGCTCCAGGGAGCCACTGTCTCTATTTTCTGAGGCTGTTCATTTTAGAAATATCCTTTGCTCCCAAGACACGCAGAATCGTGAGAACCCGTAGAGCATTGTCTCCCAGTGGACATAAAGAGCATGTGAAGAAGCCCATCTGACTGGAATGTTCTGAGGAAAGTGGAGGAGGTGAGGTGGAAGCTAGGCAGGGCACAGCTGAGCCAGGGCCTTGCGGGCCCTGAAAAGAAGTGTGGGTTTTACTCAGAGCACAGGGGAAGGCCATTGGATGGCCTTAAGCAGGGGAGTGCTGTGATGTTACTTCTTGTTTAAAAGGATCACTGACTGTCTTGTGGACATCTTTTCTCATTCACCCTGTATCCCTCTCAGGTAGATAGGAGCTGGGAAGATTCCTTGATTAGGTAGGTGGTTTTTCTCAGGATGAGACCATTGTTCTGCACCTTGGGTAATTTTTCTCTTGTGGAAACTGCCTGCATCGTATGTGGGTGATTTGGGGCCTCACCTCAGGGCCTTGCATTAGCTGTTCCTTCTGCTTAGAATACTCTTTCCCGTTACTATCGAATCTCAGTTTAAATGTCATTTCTTACAGAGAGGCCTTCCTTATGTACCTAGTCTAAAGTAGTCTGCAGTCACTCTGTCACCTCACCTTACTTAAATGGTGATTTTTTCTTGTTTATTATTTGTTTTCCCAAACTTAAATACAAGCTTCATGAGAGCTGGGGACATTTTCCTGTTAACTGTTGTGTTCACAGTGCCTAGTAAGGTGCTTCACCCATAGAAAATGTTCAGTAAACAATATTATTCTGTCCTTCCCCGGAGAAGGACATCATGCTTAGTAAAGCAAAGGGTCGGCAGAAAAAGAAGATGACCCTCGACAAGATGGATTGAAACAGTGGCTGCAACAGTGGGCTCAGGCATAACAGTTGTGAGGATGGTGCAGGACTGGGCAGTATTTTGTTCTGTCATACATAGGGTCAGAACCAACTCAGTGGCACCTAATAACAACAATAGCTAAGGAAGGCAAGGCCTGCAGGGGTCAGCTAATGTACCTGAAATTCCATGGCTGCTTTAAGGCCTGCTGGGGTCAGCTCATGGACCTGAGATTCCACGGCTGGTCCAAGGCAGAAGATTGGAACCTACATGTTTCTTTTTAAAAACTCTTGTTTACTACGTTCTCTTCATCGCCTTTAACTCAGAATGAATTTTTGAGTTTATAAAGAGAGAGTAATGTTCATCTAAACACTGTATGAAAGCTATTAAACCATGATGAAAATATCTTTTTTTTTTTTTCATATTGGAAATGATGAGATCTTTGCTTGCTCATCAGTAAGGTGCTTAGCCAAGAAACCACCTGCACGTTTTATAAGGAGGGGAAGGGAATGTGAAGAGGGGAGTGGTAAAGTCAGAACTATGCTTTTCTTAATGCTGAAAGGGGCCTTTCATTGACTTCAGTCCCCTCACTGAGTAAACTGAGACCTAGAAGAGGTCCAAGGAGCCCTGGTGGCACAGTGGTTAAAGCGCTTGGCCACTAACCAAAAGGTCAGCAGTTCAAACCCATTAGCCGCTCCTTGAGAGAGATCCTGCAGTCTGCTTCTGTAAAGATAACAGCCTAGGAAACCCTATGCGCTATTTCTCCTCTGTCTCGTGGGGTTGCTGTTAGTCCGAATTGACTGAGCAGCACCTAGCAGCTACAACAACAGGAGGTTCGCACCGGCTAGTAGCAGGACAGCTTCTAGGACCGCAGTCCGCTGGCAGGCCAGTGCCTTGCTTTCGTGATGGGCTGCTTGTCTTTGGTGCAAGTGATATATTTAATAAGCAGATACTGTATCAAAGAGAGTCAGAAGCTTAAAAATTTTTTTTTAAAGTTATAGTTACATAAATAAGTATATTGTCTGTTCAAAGATTTGAAACATTACAGCTGAAATGAAAGCCTCCTCTGGCCCCCCCAATCCCATTTATTTCTCTCCCTCAGTCCCTAGAGTTGCCTGCTGCTTTTAGTTACTGGATGTCCTTCCAGGCCGTTTTCTTTGTATCTTCATAAAATTGTAGGTAGTCAGAAAAGATTTGGCATTGTTTTGAGGTTTCGGGTTTTTTTCTTAACACAGTATCATACTGTACATATCACTGGTGGATGCTTACATTTTTCCTTGCTTCTTCAATAACATTGACCTGTGCTGCAGCAAGCGTCTTTGCCCATTCTTCTTTGTACTAATGTGCAGACATATTTTTTAAGTTTAGGTGTTCAGTGCCTGTTGTGGACATAGCAGTTTATTATTAATACAGCAGTATCAACTTTTGATAAGGCTGATTTGTTGTGTAACAGGTGTCCAGGGTACTGAATTCTGGACTGATGTGACACAGTAATCTTCAGTCTCTTAAAACATCCCATGAGGAACATCCACATTGATTCTCCTGATGTGTATTACTCTTGGTGGTAGTTGTGGATTAAATGGTATATACCCCCAAAGTATGTTGTAAACCCTAACCCTTACACTTGTGGTTATACTGTAATCCCATTTGGGAATAGGTTTTCTTTGTTACGTTAAGAAGCCATATAAGTATAGGGTGTGTTTTAAGGCAGTCGCTTTGGAGACATAAAAAGAGCAAATTATGCATAGCGAAGCGAGCAGCCATGGGGGAAGATAGACGCCATGCCACATGAAGATCACCAAGGAACAAAGACCTTCCCCCAGAGCAACAGAGAGAGAAAGCCTTCCTCTAGGGCTGGCACCCTTTAGAGCTGGCACTCTTTAGAGCTGGCACCCTTTATTTGGACTTCTAGCCTCCTAACTGTGAGAAAATAAAATTGTTTGTTAAAGCTACCTGCTTGTGGTATTTCTGTTATAGCAGCACTAAGAAACTAAGGAGTCATCATTATAAAGTGGATGGTTATTTATTTTTACAAACTGATTTTAGTTTAGTTCATTACATTATTGCTGTATTTCTACCTCGATGTTGGAGAGTAGGGAGGGGGCTTTATTTGTCTTTAGGGAGCTTACTGTTTGACAGGAATTTTAAGTTCTTATATGTGTATTATCACAGGGAAAATGAGACTTTAGTCTGATTTATAATCTATCAAAACAAGGGAGTGATGATTTTTAAGGTTTTCTTGCCCTAGATTTCTGATGCATGCGTGTGTGCAGCACAGCACAAAACAATACAGATAAAAAGGTTTTGCAAATTAGATTTAGTGATTGCTTAATCTCTTAATTAAAGATTGTTCCTGGAACTGAATTGCTGGGCAGAGGGCTGTGGGGACCATGGTCTCAGGGAACATCTAGCTCAATTGGCATAACATAGTTTATAAAGAAAATGTTCTGCATTCTACCTTGGTGAGTAGCATCTGGGGTCTTAAAAGCCTGTGAGCAGTTGTCTAAGTACTCCAGTGGTCTCACCCCTTCGGAAGCAAGGGAGAATGAAGAAAACAAGATACAAGGGAAAGATTAGTCCAGAGGACTCATGGACCACAACTACCACGGCCTCCACCAGACTTAAGTCCAGTACAACTAGATGGTGCCCAGCTACCACCACTGACTGCTTTTACAGGGATCACAGCAGAGGGTCCCGGACAGAGCTGGAGAAAAATGTAGAACAAAATTCTAGCTCACAAAAAAAGACCAGACTTACTGGCCTGACAGAGACTGGAGAAACCCCGAGTGTATGGCCCTGGACACCCTTTTAACTCAGTAATGAAGTCACTCCCGAGGTTCACCGTTCAGCCAAAGATTAGACAGCCCCATAAAACAAAACGAGAGTAATGTGGCACAACAGCCCAGGGACAAGGACTAGAAGGCAGGAGGGGACAGGAAAGCTGGTTATAGGGAACCCAAGGTCGAGAAGGGAGAGTGTTGACATGTCGGGGGATTGTTAACCAATATCATAAAACAATATGAGTACTAACTGTTTAATGAGAAACTATTTGTTCTGTAAACCTTCATCTAAAGTACAATAAAAAAAAAAAATTTTTTTAAATAAAGTCTATTTTAAAAAAAAGAAGATTGTTCCTGGATTTGTCTGGGAAGCCTGTGGAAAACTTAAGAACCTTAAAAAAGAGGAACATTTTCAATTTATTTTTAAATCAACTGTGTGATGGTATAATTTATATATAGTAAAATGCACCCATTTTAATCACAAAAGTCTGTGAATTTTGACGAATGTATACAGCTGTGTAACCGTTACCTCGATGGAGATGGAGAACATTTTCATCATCCTGGTCCCTTTGCAGTCCCCGCCACTGGCCCCAGGTCATTGCTGATATGTTCTCTGTCACTTTAGTTTGCCTGTTGTAGATTTTCATATAAGTGAAACCAGTCCATTTGTCTTTTTACTTTTACTTATTTTTTTTGAGACTCTTTAAATATGTTCGTTTTGTTTGTTTTTCAGATCCATCAGAAAGTGAAGTAATGGGAGAACCACACTTGATGGTGGAACATAAGCTTGGTTTACTGTAACACTGTGCTGGCAACGCAAACAGGGGTTGCATCTTATTTAGAGTTGTCTTTTTTCTATGATTGGATGTACACAACATTAAAAGTACTGGCATAAAAGAATTTTTGCCTAAATGGTATCGGCGATTATTTGAAATTATTTGGGTCTTTGGTAATGGCTGTGTGATAATTGAAAGCAGTAAGGGGAGATGATTTTAAAACTCCTCATTTATATTAAAACAATAGTCTTCTATGTCTTTAAAATGTTGCTGATGAATATTATAAAACTGTCCACAGGTTCCATTTAAACCCATTTGTAGGTATTCCATAAATTTAATTGTGAATAACCATTAATCAATTTTTGAGTCTGTGACCTTCACAGTAGCATCTTTCAGAGTAAACATTTGTAATTAATTTCAGTAGCAACACTTCAAATTAAATGCAGAAACAGTGTTTATCTTGTTTCAGTGTAGTCCATTAACACTCGTAAGAATAATATTTGTTTTATTGATGATCTAGAATCTTTGATTCCTTTAGCCTGAAAAAGTTATAAAATCAGAGCTGTTGATTTTGGACTTGTCTTTAAAGTGAAAAAGCAACCAGCAGGTGTAGATTAAACTGTTGTACTTTATAGATTTTGTATCTATTAATATGTATTTAATACATTGCTAAGTAACACTGTTAAAGAACAGTAAAACCCACATTGTACTTACATATTACCAGATGCTTAAACTTTATAAAAAAACTAGAACGTAATCATATATGCATACACACGCATCCACAAGCAATTTCCATAGTAATTGCTTTAAAAATATTTTTTCACCATGGTTCTTCCTTATAAGTTATTCTTTATGAACCTGGTATACAAAAAGTAAAGATTTTTTAGAACATTAATATATCATATTTCACAAAGCAAAACTAATGATGTTATTGTGTGTCCTCGAGTGGATTCTCACTCAGTGACCCCACGTGACAAAGTGGAACTGCCTCACGGTTTCCTAGGCTGCAGTCTGTGAGGACTGATTGCCAGAGCTTCCTTCTGTGGGGTGAGCGGTGGGTTCCAACCGCCAGCCTTCCATTTAGCAGCCAAGTGCTTAACCTTTGCACCACCAGGGCTCCTTAAAGCTAATTATACTGTGTACTAAACTTACAAAGTCTCAATAATTATTTTTTGGTTATCAAAATTTTTGTATACACACAATTTTTCAGAAACATTTTTGTTAGATGAGCGATTTTCAGTTGAAAGCAATATTGTACTCTTTCTCCCCCAGGGATATTTGTCATTGTCTGCGGAGACATTTTTGTCACATCTTCAGTGGGGCTGGCGAGGTTGCTACTGGCACCTAGTAGGTAGAGGCCAGGGATGCTGCTAACCATCTTACAATGCACAGGCCATCAGTGATTTTGTAACAATTCAAAGCACCAGAGGGAGAGATGTAACTTACATTAAAACAATAGCCTTTTATGTCTCTTTAAAAATTGTTGCCAATGAATGTTATAAAACTACGTCCAGAGGTTGTCCCACTGCAGCACAGAATCCGGTTTAAACTGTCAATAGTATAAAGAAAACACATTGCCGTCGAGTCGATTTTGACTCATAACGACACTATAGGACAGAGTTGAACTGCCCTGTAGGGTTTCCAAGGAGCCCCTGGTGGGCTGGAACTGTTGACCTTTCGGTTAGCAGCCTGAGCTCTTAACCACTGTGTCACCAGGACTCCCTTGAAATAAGTAACATTTTTAAACATTCTTTTGCCCCGAGTTATGTTAAGATTAAGCCAGTCTTTGCCTGCATGATGTTTGCCAATCCACTTTACACTTAAATTGTGAAAAAATACAGAAGTAATGAAGGTTTGCTTATTGGTTATTTCTAGATACATTCTCTTTCAAGTAATGAGAACATTGTGGGGATCTCTTCTGTACCTTGGTTCTAGGAGTGATACGCCGTACGTGCAGTTCCAGGATTACGAGTGAGTTCTGTTCCTAACTCTGTCTTTAAGTTGGATTTGTACATAAGTCGGAAGAGTTAATGTACAGTTTGTATCTAATGTCAAATGTTTGTCTTAATGTATAATGTACCTTTGTATGCATAAGAAATTTAAACACTTCCAGATACACTAAGACGTCTTTAACATAATAATACAGTAATAATAATAATGTTTTGATGCGTGTTGCAAAATACTGCCTGCTTGTTAATTATGAACCATTGTATGTACCTCGAATTTTTAATAGGCTTTATCAGGGTTGGTTCATAACTACGGGTTGTACATAAGTTGGACATTCATAACCCCTGTATCCCCTTCCTGACCACTAGAAAAACCTGTTGGCCATGGAGTCTATTCTGACTCATATCGACCCTATAGAACTGAGCAGAACTGCCCCATAAGGTTTCCACGGCTGGCTGTAATCTTTACAGAAGCAGACTGCAACGTCCTTCTCCAGTGGAGCCGCTGGTGGGTTCAAAGTGCCAACCTTTTGGTTAGCAGCCAAGCACTTAACCACTGTACCATCAGGCTCCTTTTCATAATATACCTGCTAAGGGGAACAATCAAATTAATCAGCATAGTATCAATGGAAACATTGATGTTTTAAAGATAGAAATTGGCAATCATGAATAGCCATTTCTAATGGTCTTTTTGCTTTCCTCCTCTTTCTCGTTTACCGTCTCCATATTAGTGGTCCTCATCTCTGTGCTCATAACAATCACCTTATGAGCGGCAGTCTGTTCAACAGGTTACGGTGTCAGCATCTAATCCTCAGAAATTCTCGTATGACTAAGCTGGGGTGATACCAGAAAGTGTATTTTTTAAACGTTCTCCAGAGTTGATTTACATGCTTTCTTTCCTTCCTTTTGCCTTTATACTAGCAACATTGATACCAGTTAAGTCTTCTGGTATGCCTTAGTGCTAAAAATTTTGCTAATGTTTCTTAAATCTCTTCAGTCTACAGTGCTTGCTTGCGGTTGGGAAATTATTCAGGTTTCTTGATAAGAATTAGTTGCAGGTCCCTCTGAGCTTGCCATTAGGCATTTATTCTTGCAGATGCTCTGATTTTGTTGAAGTAGTTTAGTATTTTCCATGTCTCTTTTTTTTGCTTGTGAGATATGAATCCTTGGGTTCAAGGTACTTCACAGGTTGGTGCATGGTTAAAGTTTAATTAACACTACAATGACAGAATACACAATAAAAGAGAATGGTTATATGTGTGGGTGTGTATATATACAGTAGAACCTGTGAAAGCTGGAACTGTGTAAGGTGGAAACTTGTCAGAAAAGGAAAACTGATATTTTCCACTAGTAGAGACAGAAAAGTAAGACTGTACCTTGTCAAAGACAGAAAACTTGGGAGACCCAGAAAAACAAGGCAGTTCCATTGAGTTCCAGCTCTCATAGGTTTCACTGTATATGTATTGTTGTTAGGTGCCGTGGAGCCTGTTCTGACAAATAGCAACCCTACATACAACAGAACGAAACACTGTCTGGGCCTGCGCCATCCTCACAATTGTTGCTGTGTTTGAGCCCATGGTTGCAGCCACTGTGTCAGTCCATCTCGTTGAGGGTCTTCCTCTTTTTCGCTGACTTTCTTAATTTATCAACTATGATGCCCTGCTCAAGGGACTGGTCCCACCTGATAACATGTTCAAAGTACATATAAACAGAATTGTAGGTGTTGCTGTCTAGAAGTGTTGGGGGTTTGTCAAAGCATTAAGCACTGTTTGGCACACCATGGGATGGTTCTTACTAAATACACCTCTTCACACCTACCCTCTGTAGAAAATATGAATGATAAAGTTACACTTTTCATCATTAATTTACCGTTTTCATTGGAAATTATCCCATTTTTAAGAGTACATGTAAGTATAGCAGACTGCTCACGTATGCACTGTGTTCTTCCTTTCGAAGTCATTCAGGAATGTAAAAGATCTGAAAAAGCAGCTGACTTTTGAAAAACAGAAAAATTATGTAGTGTAGGATTTTTCACTGGAACCCACAATTGGATAAATGTATCAAACACATGGAATATAAGTATATATTAATCAAACTTTCTGACTTGCTGTTTCAGTAAAGCAGAACCAAAAATGCTACCACCCTAGATTGGACTTAAACTTAGCTCATGATTCCAAAATTGAAATTCAGGGTCCCTCATGTACAGTAAATGCTTGAAAAGCCTGTGCTTTTGTTTTATTATAGATGCTTAAACACTCTTAAAGAATATGAGCACATTGTTTTTCAAGTAGAATTTTATCACTTTGTTTCTTCGGTTGAAAAAGCCTACAGGATGTTTTACATTTTTTTGTTTAAAAGTGGAAAATCAAGTTTTAAAAAATTTAGTTCTGGATCTCAAATATCTTTCGGGAAACAGTAAACGTGTTTTGTCGGTTGTACTTTGCCTTTCTGCTTCTTTTCAAGGTCTTGACCTAGAGAGTGTAAAATGGCATGGTGGAGGCGTCTGACCTCCTCCAACTTCACAAGGGGGAGAAGAATCAAGATCAACAACCCAAGGCTGATTCCTATGAGGCGAAGGTCAGGCAGACATACCTCTTCTCTCTAACTTTTTTACCAATTCTGACACCAGCCGTCCCTCCCACAGCAATCTCTTCTTCTCTGCTAGGCTTGATAATTCATTGCAATGCCACACACAACTCACAGACCATACTCACAGTTACGGGGTTTATTAGGGAAGTAACAGGTTACAGTCCAGGATATAGTTCTTTGATCAGGACAGCCTCTTTTCAGCCATGCTCTTAGGCAGGCCTCTCTCTAGCCCTTAGCCCCTCAGTCCTTTGTCTCCTGCCCTGTTAGGGCAAGTGTTACAAAGCTCTTTAGCTCTGCCAATTAAGTGTCCATAGGTACCCTACTCTGCCACCAAGTTTCCCCCCAAAGGCACTCAGCTCTCTCGCTGCATGGGCTGGGAAGCTCACAGAGACGTCTCCTGCTGGTCTGGTTCTGCTGCCTCTGCTGCCGCTGTTTCTCTATAGCTGCTTCTCGCCATCTTGCCGGCAAGTCTCCACTCCCTTCTCTTCTTGGTGGTGGTGAGGTCCCCCTTTTCATTCTCTGGGATGGCTCATTTTAAGCCTAGTGGAATGGCAAAACTGACCAATTCCTTCATGAGGGTT